GACCTTCGGCGCTTTGCACGGCACTAATTAACCGTCCCGGTTTGGGGCTGAATGTAACCACAGCTATAGGTGAGTCTGTAATGCTCTGCAGTGCTCAGCAGGGGCTGCAGCCACAGCCTGCAGAGCCCGAGACCACCCACAGAAAGGAGAAATTCTGGGCATGTAGCACAGGACAGCGAGAACTTTAGAAAGATTTGAACTTAACTTTCTTTTATATTACCTGAATGTGTTGTGTCTGTAGCACAGTACCTGAAGAAGGCTGAAATAGATTTCCCTCTGGGGAAGGATAGTCCAGAGCTCAGAAGGTGGTCTGGAAAGGGAGCACGGGTATTAAAATCTGCAGAGACTTTGCAGTGATGCAACACCAAGGTCGGCGGTTAGATCCCCCTGTGAGCCATTCATTTAGGGGCTGGACTCAGTGGTCCTTCTGGGTCCCTTCAGATCCAGCCTGTACTGTGATTCTGTCACTCAGGATGTCCCACAGCGTTAGGGTCCATGCTTTCAGCTGCTCAGTTCAAGAGAAATTTCACTTGTCTGGCCATGTCAGCCTCCACGGTGGCTCCATTCTCTGAGTGGTTAAAGGAGCAGGAATAGATCACACCCTGGCTTGTCTGGCCCCTTCATGCAGTTTCCAGCAAGTGTCCCCTCTCCTAAATCAAATGATGAGACCCATCAGCAGTATTTGTCTGATCTGTGTGTCCCTTTTGATGCACATAACCTTTGAACCATGCAGATGTGTCTGCAGAAATACACAAGGAACTTTTCACTGAGGTGGTAGCACAGTGAGCACAGACAGATGTGTTCCATTGCTGTCACTCACCCCACCCACTGGGAATTCACCATCAGAGCCCTGTCCTGGAAAAGCGACCACCTTTTGTGCCAACCTGAAGGAATGACACTTTCCTCTTGGCAAGGGCAGTGCTGCTTACCTTCAGCCGTTCCCAAAGAGTGGTGCTTTTGTTTTGGGTTGGTTGGATTTAAAAGCTGCGAGCTGGGCTGACTAAACCCATCCTGTACAGCTACAACAGCCTGAGAAAACTCAGCCCCACGGACTTTGCTGGCCTGGAGAAGCTGGAGCTGCTGATGCTGCACAGCAATGAGATCAGCACCGTCCCTGAGAAGGTGTTCAGAGATTTACGCTCACTGCAGGTAAGAGCTGAATGAGCAGTGTTAATTTGGTTATGATTTAACTCCCAGTGATACTGGTAGGCAGCCACAGGGCAGCCTTCTGCAGCATTTTGGTTTCCTGTTTCTTACCTTATTCATGTGGAAGCCAACAGCCTTCAGAATCCACTATCCTGGTGGGAAATGTCTTTCCTTCCCAGGCAGGCACTCAGGCACAGGGTACAGAGCACTACAAACACTTTGGTAGATATGTCTCAGTTGTGCCTTAGCAGGAAACTGCAGTCAAAACTCTCTTCCTACAGAGCAGAAAGATTGCAAAGCTCCAACTGCTGTGTCTGAAAAAGGAAACCTGTCATTGTTAATTTGTTAGTCAGTTTGGGGCTTTTTGAGGATTTTTTTTTTCCATTGAGATTTCCCTTTCCCTTCAGTACAATCCTGTTCCTTTCTAGCCTTCATGAAAAAAAGGCCAAACTGTGCAGAAACTTTACACTGCATATAAACATTTCAGTTCTTTAAAGAAACTCCAGTTACCTGGCATTCCTGGTCTGGTGAAGAACTGTCACTGCACAGAGCAACCTTCAGCAGCATTTATTAGGGGTCCTATAACTCTAACATGGCTTAATATTATGCATTTGCTACTTTTTCATGAACAGGTCTTAAAAATGAGTTACAACAAGGTCAGAGTGCTTCAGCAGGATGTATTTTATGGCCTGAACAGCTTGGTACGGCTGCATATGGACCACAATCAAATCGAATTTGTGAATCCCAATGTTTTCTACGGACTCACCTCCTTGAGGCTGGTCCACCTGGATGGAAATTTCCTTCAGCAGCTGCACCCAGACACTTTTGTGACCTTGCGCTATAGCCAAATATTCAGAATATCCTTCCTGAAGCACATCTCTCTGTCTGACAATGTGCTGACTTCACTCCCACAAGAGATGTTTTCCTACATGTCAGAGCTCGAGAGCATTTACCTGCATGGAAACCCCTGGTCCTGCGACTGCAGCCTGCAGGGGCTGGCAGGGTGGGCACAGGAGAGACCAGGTGAGCTGAAGGCTTTGTTCATGCTCTTCAATCCTGTTGTAGCAACCTGCTCTTCCTGATACAGGTAATTGTCCTTTACTCACCTGTTTATTCTCCCAGAAAAGACTGGTAGGTGTAGGTGTGTGCAATCAGGATAAGGAGATTAACACCACTGCATTTCCCAGATAAAATTAATCTTGTGGCCATTCCCAAGTGCAGCTTTTCTTAATGGAGAATTTCCCTTGGCCAGTCCAAAGCTTCTGTGCACTGGGAGAATCCACAGGGAACAAGCTAACTTTTGTGGAATTGGCAAGAGCAAGAGACACATTGCACTTGCTTCTTTAAAAAGAAATTCAGGACCTCAAGGGACTCTGGGACTTTCTCTGCTGCTGCCATTCGCATATTACTTCAAGCTTGGGTTTTATTTTATTCAAAAGAACCACTTGTATTTGATAGATGTCATTTTTAACACTAAAACTTGTAGCACAGAAACTTACTGAGGTTTTCTTCCCTTCAGATGTTATAAAGTGCAGAAAAGAGAGAAGTTCTGGTGTCCAGCAATGCCCAGTCTGTGCTAGTCCCAAAACTCACAATGGGAAAAGTTTAGTGGATCTCCCTTCTGCATCTTTCACCTGCACGAAGCCAGTCATTGATGACTCCCTGAAATCCAGAAACCTCTCGGTGCCAGACGATGGGGATTTCAGTTTTGTGTCTCCCAAGGACTTGATGGCTCCCATAGGATCTGTGGTTTTGAATATGACTGACCAGGCAGGAAATCGAGGCAACTTGGTTTGCGATGTCCAGAGACCTAAAGAAATGTCTCCCATCTCATTTGAACAAAGTGGCCCCAGCAGAGTGCTCCAAGCCTCGTTCTCAGCATTCCTGGTGTGTGGCATCGATTATGGGCACATCCAGCAGCTGTGGAGCATCCTGGCCCTGTACAGCAGCTCTCCTTTGAAACTGGAGCAAACCGTGGGGACAGCTGAGGAGCCTTCTGTCAGCCACAAATACAGGCAGGTGTACAGCGAGAAGGATGAGCTGTTCACCAGGGTGGAGGCCGAGCTGCGGGCCGAGCCAGCGTGGCTGCTGCAGAGGCAGCTGTCGCTGCAGCTGGACAGGACAGCCACCACGCTCAGCACGCTGCACCTGCGCTACGCCACGCACGCCCGCGTGGCCCTGCCCAGCCGGGACAGGGAGCAGGGCCGCCACGGCTGGGCCCTCATTGCCAGGGACAACAGCACCCAGACGGAGCACACGGTGCTGGTGGGGGGCTCGGTGGAGCTGGGGTGCCAGGCGGCTGGGCAGCCAGCTCCTGCCGTGGGGTGGATACTGGCTGATGGCAGCAGGGTGCGAGCTCCCCACATCAGCGAGGATGGCAGGATCCTGGTCCTCAAGAGCGGGGTGCTGACGCTGAGGACAGCTGACGTGTTCGACTCAGGGCTCTACCACTGCATCAGCACCAACCACAGGGACGCTGACGTGCTCACATTCCGGATTACAGTGCTGGATCCCCAGGTGGGACACGGCGGCGTCAATGGAGCCCAGCTGCCCGCTGCTCTCGGCAGCACACTGCACCTGCCCTGCACGGCCACGGCTGCCCCGGACCCTGCTGTCACCTGGGTGCTCCCTGAGCACACAATCCTCCGCCAGTCTGCTGGAAACAAACACATTTTTGCCAATGGCACCTTGAGAATACAAGGGGTGATGCAGCGAGACCTGGGCTACTTCCGATGCGTGGCGGCCAACCGGTTCGGGGTCGATCTTTTGGTTTTCCAAGTGCTGGCGAGACAGGATGAAACCGCTCTGAAGAAAAGGCATGGAGCTGTGGGAGAGTGGGAAGAGGGCTCTGGCAATGAGCTGCTGCGCCCTGCTGCAGCACAGAGACGCCCCTCAGGCACTGCAGGCACCCTGAGGGCTCCCGGGGAACCTGCAGCACCAGCGGCCAGCAGCCAGGGCACACATCACAGGAACAGCCACGGGAACAAGCCTCACTGGCCCCACACTGACAGGACGGGCCGGCGCTTCAGGGGACACAGGAGACAGTTCGTTCCCTCGGGCAGGAGAGCTGATCCACAGCGCTGGGCAGCCCTGCTGGAGAAAACAAAGAGGAACGCGACAGTGGCACACAAACGGGGAGAAGCTGCAACAGAACCACCCGTTCAAGCCCATAGGCTCTCAGAGGTACCCGGGGATGAGGAGGAGGCATCTGGTGATCTCGTATCTCCAGAAGAAGAATTTATGATACCAGCAACAGAGAGATCGCCAGTGCCTGCTCCGGGCAGAGCAGCAGAGCTCAGCATCACTGCAGGGCCCAAGGGGACTGAGAATCCCCCTCCTGCCTGGAGCACCTCTGTCCTGCCCACAGAGCCAATAACTCCCCTGCCCTCACCTCCTCCACACCCTGGGGCACCTGCCAGCAAAAGGCTGCAAACACTTCCCAAACCTACAGACTCACGGGAAAGATCCAGTTTGAGTCAAATATCAGCAAATGGTGTAAAACAGCCAACTGTACCAAGTGGGACAGCCACACTCTTCCCTGCTGGGCAAAAGTCAATACATTCTGGGGAAAGTAATAACCAGCACCTAAAGTCTGCATCCATGACACCCACGACAGAAGCTACAGGCACCAGCAAGGCTGTAACTCCCCAAAACACAGCACACAAGTTACATGTTTTTACTGAGTCTATTGATAATGTCTCCACCAGAACAGATCACCAGGTCCCTGTGGTGACAGTCAATGCACCAAGCTCTGAATTTGGCCCCATTTATTTTCACAGTACTCAGAAAGGAGGAGCCCCTAACCCATCTGCCTCGACTTTCACTGCTCATCAGCAAATTCAGGTTATCCAGGGCAGTCCAACTCATCCAGCCCAGCTCCAGCAGCACCATGGAAGACGAAGGAAAATTTCTGGTCGGAGACGAATTGTCAGACCAGGACGTGTCCCAGGCATGAAAGAGCCCCGGTACAATTTTGGGAGGCCAGGGTCTGCCAGAGGAAGTACAGCTGTGGCTACAGGTGTCCAACTTAGTATGAACTATATATCAAATGTACCAACCTTGAATAACTCCAGCAGTTCCATCATCAATCCATTTAGCCCAGACACACCCCAGTCCTCCCCCTCCACCATGAAAATGCCATTGGAGCACCCTGTGGGTACCCATCAAAACACAGCATTCCTCAGGGAGGAGGAAAAGAAACACAGTGCAAGGCAAAAAGCTGCTGCCACAGTCGTGTCTGTCACTGCAGAGGACACTGCCACTACTGCAGCCAGTGGATTGGGTGTGACGGGTTTGAAGCCAACAGTCACACTTGTTCTCACTCCTCAAACCAACACCAGAGCCGCCAAAACTAAAATACACAGAGGGGGAGGAAGGAGAGGTCAGAGGAGGAAGAGGCCTCCTAAAACACCTGCCCCACAGCGTGTGGCTGCAGCCCAGAGCACTGCAGCCACCCCTGCAATGAGCACTGCAG